TCGCTTGTTGCAAAACAACGTTGCCACTGCATTTGTCAATGGTGTGACTTGGTTGCTGAGACTCAAACTGCCATTTGGTTGCCACCTGGTTGAACACTTGAATGGGGCAAGTTTATCCAGATCTCGGTGCTCAGCTGCTCAGTTCTCACAAATCATGCGCTCCGTTGAGCCTGAAATCAACCACCTTATAGGATCAAAACAGACCGCAGCACACCAACCGGAAAATCAACGGCGGGACCGACGGAGTCGAGCCTTGACCGCTGAGCGTCGAGCGGATCCCACCGGAGCTGTCAGGTCCCACCGTGACCTCTCGAGTCTTCCTGCACTTCCTCAGTGAGATGGATTGCTCGTGGCCAGCTCAGACCGGATGTTTCGAAGTTGGGGGAGCCAAAGCCACCACACCGGAGCACGAAAAAACCACAGTTTTTGACATGCTTAGATGCACACTACACCGAGTGTAGTGTGTTAATCTGGGCTCTTAGGGGGGTCTCCGAGCACTCTTTTGAAACCCTTTGAAGGTTCATGTATCATTGTTTGATGTCATTTGGAATGCAGGGACCACTATAGGATCATTTGAAGAGGTCAACTTCCTGGGGGTTTGGGTTTCCGGGTGTTGACGCACAAGCATAAAGGAGGAGATCGTGTGAGATCATGTCATGTTCATCCATGTTTGATGCCTCTACAGGCCAACTTATGTTGAGATTGGTGACATACCTCCATAGCCTCTCTATACAACATGTTCGCGGTCCAGCGCCGTTCAAAACATGTTGGTAAGGGTATGACATTCCTGGCATTCCATTCGCCCTTCTCTTCTAAGAGTTCTTGCTTGGCCTCCACCGATCCCCCCCGAACCCACCGCACTTCCCAGCACGCCGCCGCGAGGATGGAGACGGTGGAGCAGCGCATCACCGACACCATCAGCAGCCATTTGGGGCCACGTGGCGAACCCCTCCAAGGAACGGAACCACGGAACGGAACGGTGACTCGTTTGGGGACGGCCTGCCATTTGTGGCGCCCCCTTGGACCCCCCCAGTCAACCAATCTCAAGGGCCGGGAGATATGGCAGTCCCATGGAGTAGTTGTGTTCTTTTGTATGTTTTTTCCGATATTTGTGGTTTCGAATCTTGGGGGTGAAGGCACTAGAATTATCATGGTTTCAGATCAACCCTCCGCTTGCGGAGGGCGGAGGGGTGCCCATGATCCTTCTCACTTACTCATGTTAGTATTATATTTGTTTATGTGTTTTTTTTGTGGGTCTGTCATGTTCAAGAGCAAATTCAGGAACCAACTACACCATTTCGGGGTTCGAGTTGTTCAAAGCACATCGATTTGCACCAAAAAGTCCAAAGGGATCCCACAACGTTTTGCTGGAACCCCATCAATCAAGCATTCACTTAAGACAAGACCCAAGTGTCACCACTTGACACCCTGTAGAGCCTGAAACCCGAGTCTGAAAGAAGCAAATCGGCAGTGAGGGCAAGGGTTCCATATGCCATCATATGCCTTACACAGGGAGTGTGTATTCCCATATTCCATGGATCCAGGTGAATGGAATGCAAGCGTTTTCTTGGGGCTTGCCATGGCTTGCCCAGTTCATGTGCACAGATCTTGGTGTTCCTTCGATCCAAAGGGTGTGCGCAACGAAGATGCACCCCGCAGCAGCTTCAGCACGCGGCGCTGAAGAAGTCGCATGTCAAAACCAGGTCGGAAAGGTCGAGGAACACCGCCAGACACTCCCATCAGACTGGCATTTGTCTCTGAATCAGTTGGTTGGGGGTGGTTGATTGTGTTGATATACCAGAGGTTGAGCAGCCTTCTGTCGCCCATCCCATATGTACCACAGACGAGTCCGAACGTTCAGGTCTCAAAAAACCTCTCTTGGAAGGTCGAGGTCTTTCTGGGACTGGCATTCGATTCGAGTCAGCGACGTCCGGTCTCGGTGTTACGCGTCCCGAGGCACCGAGGGTCCGAGGTCATCAAGCTTTGCGTGGATGAGATCGAGTCGCCCGGCATTTGTTTTTTTTCAAACAGAAAAACCGTCACATGTAAACACGAACAACTGGAGAATGTGGGGAGTGGGGTGGCCACATTCTATATACTTCAGATTTGGTGATTGGTGATTGTCGTGTTGGGCCATTGGTGGACTGGTTTGGGCTGATTTAGGGAATGGTCCAAGACATGTCAATATCATCTCCGGCCAGGACGCTTGATCTCAGACCTGAAAAGCGCGTTCGAACAGCACTGTCGTTTCGTCGGTGGTCGTGGTGGACATGAACGTGCCATTCGAGATGTGTTCCGCCTGACACCTCCAAAACGTGTGCGGCCTGTGTATACGGTGTATACGGTGTCAAGTCATGGCGGTGGCACCAAAAACCTTGGTTGAACTGCCGACGTCTGGTCAAGCTGCATGGTGGACGGGTCGGGCTGCAGGTGGGACGTCTGGTCAAGCCACGTCATGGATCGGTCGATCGGTCTTCGAATGACCGGTCTGACCGGTGTAGCGGAGCATCCACGATCGTGGAAGGTCTCGCAAGGGTATGACCGGCAGATCGATCAAAACCCTCCCTTCCAACACGTGCCATATATATATATATATACAATAGACAAATCGGATATGCTTTTAAGGCCTAGGAAGAGCAATTCTGATCAACCACCATATACCCCAAAAAATCCCAAAGTGTTAGACACGTATCACATATTTGTATGTGTATCTTAGCATGGTGTTTTCATATCATGTTCTTTCCTACCCTGCTTTAAGTTCTGAGATGCTCTGAGCAACATGTTTGTTGGGTTCATGTTCTATTCTGTGTCCATAGCACGTGGCAAAACAAAAAAGTGACCCTCCACTCCCCTTTCCTCATTTGGGGCCACGCGACACGAGGATCAAGGTGCACCACAAGGCTGCAGGTGCAGAATGTGTTCGTCGTTTGGATCGGGTTTCACCCTGGGGGATCCTACTGTTTTGGTTTCGATGTGTCCACTTTCCATGGTTTCAATGTTTCGACAGCCTGGACCACCTACCACCATGCTCCGTACCTGTCATTGTAAGAAAAAGTGCCAGAGGTTTGGAAGAAGCGGACTTCCTCGACCGGGGGTGTCAGTGTCCATTTTGGAGGGCATTGTTGTGTTGGAGACTTGTTGGAGACTTGCTTGAAAAACTTATGGTTTGAGGCTTCTCCTGGCACCGAAGAATTCTTGCCACCTCCCAACACCTGCCCATTCCAGATATCCTTTCTGATTCCTAGAAGCGTTTGTTTCTATGTGGTTGACAAGTTTTGACAAAGTTGACCAAGTTGACAAGTGATCGACAGCATAGAAGAGATCAACCAGTTTTGGGATTTGTTTTACTAAGAGGCCATTCCTGGAGGTCGGTTCCTGGCCGACCTACCTCGCTCGGTTTGGGTGGTGATGGTGGATGCTCGTCCCAGGCAACACGTTCATGTCGTTTCGAGTCCTGAAGACCCAAGCAACGCAGTGAGTTCATGTCAAGTCCTTAAAAGACAAGCTAAAGGTTAAAGGAACATAACATATGCATGCAGCCACTGTTTTATTGTTTTTTTTCACCTGCCTTTTCCCAGTTGTTACAGTTGGAACTTGTGGAACTTGCCGCTACAAGCGTATAGCGTATCCTACTTACCGTGCTGTTTATCGTCTTGTTCAACATGTTACGTACTTGCGTGGCATCACGGCATGGCCTTTCCGACACCCCAGTCCGTCCGTCCGACATCCCCCGAAAGAAAGGGAACAGGATCTCTTCAGGATCGTGGGAGTGGCGTGGCGTTTCAGCTGCCCTCCGATCCAGGTGGCCTGGAGATTTTGAGGACCTCGATGTCCGCCTTGCGCGGCTGGGCGTGCAAAGCAAGACAGAACGTCGGACTGGGCAAAGACAGAACCATGTCTTCCTGCCACTGGCCTGGGACACATCCAGACTGGTGGACAGTAGTGGTCCCTGTCCCTGAACATGTGCGAAAGTGTGAGCAACATAATCGACGGTTTTTGGTATCATCGAAGGGTAGGCCAGGTCTCATTTTGTGTAGAGTCCTTTGGTAGGCATTGCCTGGTTTGTCTCAGAACACTCCCTTTGATATACACCTGTTGGGAGATTGGTTTCTCTACTAAACAAAGGGGCACGCTGTTTAATCAACTAACGTACTCTGTCAGTGGTTGGCCTTTATATATCTTTTGGGGGGGAGTGTCTCCTACACTGCCAGCGAACAGATGCAAGAAGTCAAACATAGTCAAACTGTTTGGCAGAAGGGAAACTGATTGGGGTAAGTTGAAAACTTTGGCACTTTGGGAGAGGATAGTGTTCAAGGGCAAATGTTTATCTAGACCTTCCGATTTTGAAGTGTTATATATTTAGATGCCTCACCCAGGTTGCCCAGAAGGTCCTGGAAATCAACATTAACCTGATGAAGTAGGCAAACCTGCAGGGTGGATGAGTGAACACATGCCAAAAGCATCCTGTTTGAAAAAAAAAAAGGTTGAGCGTGAGGTGACGCGTTCCACATGTGCGTCCGGTTTTGCAACAGGGATGAGCGTTCCCAACTGCTGCAACCCTGACCCACGTTCCACCTGCGTTGCTGCGTTGTGGGTCCCGTTCTCGGCATCGGTTCGACCCACGTTCCACACACCGTTCCCTCGAACCCCCGGAGGTCGGACCGGTCCCCAGACGCCGGGTTCGTCGGTGTTTGGGGAGGTCGGAACTGGTTGGGCGGAGGCTCTGGTGTGGCAAACAGCTGTGCAGAGATGCAGCGCGGGTGTGTACAGTAGATGACACTTTCTCTCCCACCTAGATACCGTGCCCTGAAAGGCGTATACTAGGGCCCCCAAGGGGTGTCTAATAGCGCTAATAGCCCCTTCGAGGTGATTCGGGATGTCCATGAACCAACCTCTCTGGGGTCGCTGGTACGGATTCCTTTCGGACTCCCTTGCTCACCGAGTTCGGCCTCACGGGTTTGGAAGCGAAGCCGTGAGGTGGTGGCTTCTTGAAGCCCAAGATGCTCAAGGAGGTCCCCGACCCCGTCACCGGCTTCCCCTTGCGCCTCTCGGCGCGTTTGAGCCACCAGCAGCCGTTGGCCGGCCACACGAGCCACCAGCGCGTCGTGGTCCGTGTGAGGCGAAGCCTCCGGTGGCACCGACAACGGCGGTGAAGAAATCCCCCAAACGCTTGTTGGGTGATGATGGGCACGTTCGGTGCTGTAGGATGGCGAGTAGATTGAAGAACTGGCATGACCAGAAATTGAGGAGTTGTGAAGTATATTTAGTATTATTTAGTACCCGTGTGGGTTATGTTGTAATTAGATCTTTGTAGTCATAGTCATCAGGCTGCATCAAAATATTATCGTGTGTTGGCTTCTACAGCTTTTGCAAAGATTTCAAGGGATTGAGGGTATTTGCTTGGCCGTGGATGTGATAGTGACTCCACATGTTTTAGTTTTGGAGTTGCTTGCAGCAACATGTTAGGGATATGGAACTGGGTCCAAACCTGGAGCCCCACCACCATGTAGCTTGACCTTCCAGGTAGGTCAACCAAGGTCCTGGTTTTGATCCACAGCCCATCAAAGAAGCAATTCGATGTGCAGCTTCCAACTGACGCAACTCGCTGAACTTACGCCTCCCGGGGTTCGTTTTGACACACCCCTGTGAGCAGCACGCTTCCCAGGAAGAGACAACACCTGAGCTGAACTTGACAAGTAAATTGCATGCAAAAAAGGCAAGATGATGAATACGCAGAGATATCCAGGGAGGTGGAATAAATATGAATAAATACTGACATGGGAGGGCCATGTAAATCATGTACCTGGAGTAAGAATTTCAGCCCCATAGACTATAGATGGTCTGGAATTGGGAATGTCTGGGATCCATACAACCAAGACACTAAGAAATCCTGGAACCTGGTGGCACCTGGTGGCTTCACCCGAAACCACCCTCACGTTTCGATGCACTCCGATCTCTAAGTCAGACTCGGTCGAGGGCGATGTGTCGAGTCTTTGTTCGTTTAATGTCCGATGCCCAGACACGACCCGTTTGGGACTGCCAGGACGGACTGCCGCCCCAGACAGACCCCCCACATCCCCCCACCACGCCAATGTAAGCATATGTGGTATACATGGAGTGTTTTGGGATGGCTGTTAGATGTTGTTACTCTTGAAACACGAATCCACAAAAATGGTCATCAGCGAGAATGTCTTGGAGATGCTTCAATCACCAACTAAACGATATATTATATATGGTTGATCCTTTTCCGGCTAAGAAGCGGGGATCGGCACTCTTTTTTCCCATAGGCTACTAGCATCCACAATGATTTGGGATGGATGATACCCCGACGCAATGGCCTATCTTCGTGAGACATTAACATGAATTATATAACATCTCAACTCCAAAGACCTTTTTTGATCTTTTTTGTGTTATTCATGCCATACGTGCCCAGCACGTTGCACAGCGAATTGAGCCATGGAGAAACCTGGCAACAATTTATCAACGAACCAAACGAATACATAAACCACACTGTAATCAGTTATTATAGTCACCGTAGAGTAGATGTGGAAGACCAAAGATCGTCATAGGTCATTGGTGCCAACATCTCTGATTAACACCTGTACAACTCCTGGTGTAAAGATCCTGGTTTTGCTTGAGGTGATTTTCACTTTCCCCCTGAGTGAATCCCTTCTGGGGAAGTTGTTTTTCCTGGTTCCTGGCAGCCGCAAATCAAGAACTGGTATGAAGAGCCCCTTTTGGATCCTCGGAGAGCACTTAAGAGGCGCGCTCGTCTCTGAGGATGGGAGGCGGCCAAGGAGGGTGCAGCTGTGGTGCAGACCGACCACCCTCATGTGGCAGCCTTGGCGTGCTCGTGGGCTGGCCGACCGGACCCCTGATGTTGCGCCGGAGAAACTCATGTTGGTTTGCCTTGATGGGCGGTTCAGCCCCTGAACAAGCAGGATCAAGGAGTTGGTCAACTGAGCCATCATGGCTTGATGAAGCGGGTGGTTAACTGAACTGCCTATATCCCACAACGGATCCACGTGCATAGCTCCGGAAGCTCCGAGAGCCCATAGGTGTTGGAGGGCAACGGCTGACCATGTTTGATTCCGATCAACGCATCATGAGGTGTATCTTCAGCCCAATGTTTGGATGGCAAAAAAAATATTGTTTGGATGGCTTAATGGCAATCAAGTTCATCTAAACCAATGTTGCCCCATTTTTCCAGGCTGAATGGCAAATAGGTCCTTGGATGCTGATCTGTTGGTTGGGTTTGCCACACGGATCGCAAGGGTTCTGCAAGAAGCACATGACGGCGCAGAGTTTCTTACTTCAGTGGCCTCAGCTTGAGGGTTGCCAAGATGATATTGCTTTTTGGGTTTGGACAGCTGATGCATCCAATCCAGAGGATGCAAGAATGTGTTTGGTATGCAAACCCAGGGCCCGATCTAAGAGCAAATCAATGCAGGGTTTGGTAGACACTCCATGACATAGGACTGGCATAGTTACAGTGGTTCCAGAATAGGTGGCACAAGCCCCATGATGTTTTTTCATTGGATGTCTATTATATGAACAACCTTTTGGTGATAATTGTGCAATCTATATTTTTGAAGCGTACATCCATTGACTCCTGAAATCAACCACCCCATGCACTGGGTCAATTTGCCAGTCCCCATGGATTGCTTGAGAATGGTAGAAAGAATAATCTAGCTTGGGTTTGTCCTTTTAAAACTGCAACAGTCAGTAAACAATTATAATCAATTACTATTTTGGAGCAACTGAACCATCATCATCCACTGTTACTGGTAATATGATAGATCCAAAATCTAGCCCTAAACTTCGAAACTTTTCGTGCATTAGTTTCCCTACCAGGACCCGCTCAAGTTGGGTGGTGAATGGACGCCCTGAATCACCTCCTTTTTTTTCGACACCCCAAAGGTAGGGGGGCCTGATAGGGGGATATTCAAGTGTCATGGTTTTGTTTAGGTGATGTTTATTTTCGATATGGGTGAATCCTCTTCGGAATATGCATGAATATCCTGGTTAACACGATCGGTTGGGGTGAGAAAGCGAAGCACTTCCCCAGGTCTTGGAGTATTTAACTCACTTCGATCTCGACTGAGTCCCCCAGCTCGCTGGACCGCCGAGCCGAGCCCGATCAGGTCGCAGACCATGCCACACTCAGCGTGTACCAGGCCAAGCGCGCTGGGACGCCCGGGCCACGCGAGCTCAAAGGAGGGTGGGGCACTTCAGCAGAGCGAGGCGTATTCAGCAAGAATGTGGTTTTGCGCATGGGTACATGGCAGCCACACAAGAGTTGCTGACCACCAGATGGTGCAAACAATTTGAGCTGGCTGGTTTGAAGATACTTTGGGTGTGATTCACTTGTCGAAGGCAGGGATTGGTTTGTTAGAATATGTTGATGTAACAGGCCCTTTGAACCGTTTGACCCCCCATCTCGATGGGAAGCAGGTGGGGCCTGTTTGGCCTCACCCAGACACTGCTCGGGTCGCCCCGGTCGGTGGAAGCTTGTTCAAGTCCCAGACGCGATCCGTTTGGGACGGCCATGGGACTGCCGCCCCAGACAGACCCCCCCTGGCACCACCCCTGGCCGTTTCTCGGCAGTCCGTCCTGGCCGTCCCAGACAGGTCGCGTCTGGGAGCTTTTGTGGAGCGTTTGTTTCTTGTTTTGGCTTTGGGTGTGGAGTGCTGGGCTTCTTCAGTCAAGTAGTCAAACTTGATCTCCCACCGTAAATCCCACCGTATCCCACCTGCTGGCTGCTTCAGCAGAATCAAAGACTTGGGCATCACCTGGTTGACCCATTTGGGTCTCTCCTTCGTGGTGGCTGGAGCATCGCGGCTCGCGTCATGTAGGCCATGCTTTTCACTTGGGTGGCCGACTGACGTCGAGTGTCGTTGATTCTAAGGGCTTAAGACTTAAGAGCTTTGTCAAGGAGGAAATATCAGCATATTCTAGAAAGCAAGTTCCACCTACTTCCCACGGCTCATATACATGATTTGTTTTTGTTTATGATAGTATGTATGTGTATTTGTGTATATATATATATATACATAATTATATATTATATATATAGTTATATATATATATATACACAACTGTTTGATTCATTCATTCCCCCAAACAGTTTACTGTTGGGGTTCTATCTTAGAAAAAAAGAGCTGGCCACACTGACTGGCCGCGCCCCTGAACTCTGTGGCCGGGCTCTGTGGCCGGGTCTTGTCCTCCTCTTGTCCTCCTCTTGTCCTTCTCTTGTCCTCTGGCCGCATTGACCAGCCCTGGACACACTGACTGGCCGCGCCCCTGAACTCTGTGACCGGGTCTTGTCTTCTCTTCTTCTCTTGTGACCGACGATGCCGACAAAAATCATTGATAAAGCAGTTTGCTCTTGGGGGGAAGGTAGGGCGTACCAAGAAACCGTGTTTGACTAATATTGGTCCAAACGAATCGTTTTGAAATAGGTTGGGGGTCTATGCTGGTATAATTTTAGTGTACGGACTGTGCTGTTGGGGTTCTCTCTGAGGAAGAGGGAAGCTGGCCACAGTGTCTGGCCACGCCGGTGAACGCTGTGTGCACTCCTGTTGTCCTTGTCCTTCTTTTGGCAGCGACTGCCAGCCGGTCTCCAGAGCTTGTCCTCCTGTTGTCCATCTCTTGTCTTCTTCTTGTCGTCCCGTTGTCCTCCTCTTGTTCTCTTCTTGTCGTCCCGTTGTCCTCCTCTTGTTCTCTTCTTGTCCTCCTGTCTTCCTCTTGTTCTCCTTCTGCTGGTGTCCAGCTTGGCCAAGCTGGTGAATTCTATGTCCGCCTGCTGTCTTCTTGTTGCCGTCTTCTTGTCTTTCTTCCAGCTTGGTGCGGCTGCTTGTTGTATTCTTTTTGTCCTCTCCTTGCCCCTTTTCATGTCCTCCTGTTGTGCTCTTCCCTCCTTTTGTCTCGGGTTCTTGACCTCTTCTTGTCCTCCTGTTTCCTTGTTGACGCCAGCTTGGCCGCGGCTGCCAGCCAGTCTCCAGACCTTGTCCTCTCGCTGTCCTCGTTTTGTCCTTTGTCTTTTCCTCCCCTTGTCCTCTTCTTCTCCTCTTGCTGTCCTCTTCTTGCACTTCAGGATAAGGACAAGCCGCCAGTGGAAGACCATACGATAGATGTCCTTTTGCATTCGGCCGGGTCAAATCCGAGAAGCCAAGATCGTTATTGCCACAACTGGTGCCATCCTATCCGACTCCATAAAGTACAGCGCCGCCATCATTGACCACATCAGAGAGTGGCAATACCCCTAGAATCCTCCTACATAGGGCCTATGTAACACTTATAAAAGAACGGTATAGAGGTAGTTTAGACCAGAGAAGCTACATGTCTTGTTTGGCAATAGGCAGCGCTGGCACATAGTCCTGCGGGTGACTGTCTTGCATGCTTGTTGTTGATGCTCTCTTCTCTTGCTTAAATTGCTTAAAGCTGTTTTCTGCTTTGGCTATTGGCATTCATAAATTCAGCTTCGCTGAACTGAACAGGTGAAACTGAGCAGTCTACTTGTTGCGTTTCTTCCTTCCAGGCCCATCAGAGCCAGAAACGCTTTCAGCCAAGAGGTGTTCATACACCACTGGGGTAGAAGGCCAGTTGCAATTCTGGGGAGATAAATCACCGCCAGCTCTTCGTCGACCACTGGACATCAGTTCCCAATTGGATTGAGAATACGACATCTTGCGCCCAATGTTGATCTGCAGAGTGTTGACCAGACGAGGCAGTTCGATGTGGACGGTGGTCTCTTTTATTGTGTCTTCAAGTGCAGTTTTGTGAGAACAGACTGCAGACACCGATTCAAGATCAGGCTACAACTCATTTGTCTCAGCCTATGAAGCGTACTCAATCTAGCCTCCTATCCGGAGAGCCCTGAAGGGCAGATCAGGGCACCCGGATTTGACGTTCAGAGCTGTGAGGCGAATGACGAGGCAATTAGCGATGCCGTGGGCGCGCGCTGAGTCAAGTGTGTGGCACCTCGGCGTTGTGACAGCCACCTGTTTCACCTTATCCTGTATAGTGCCTTTGAGGCCATGGATAGTAACCTGCCTTTCAAAAATATGAGCTGTATAGTTGGCACCAACTATGCACTGCTGCAACACAAGGAACGCTGCTCGACTGAGGAAGAGAACTGCGCGTGTGCACCGGCAGAAGGAGTGGACCCAGGCAATTGCCGCTAGCCGGGCCACCATCGCCCCCAGAGTACGCGTTATTGAAAGGATAAAGATAACCGTACTCTGGGTCCTTGCTGCATCTTGCTGCTGAGAATTCAGAGCGCAGACATCTTGATATTCTTCAAAATTGAGGATCTACGAATGACATCAGAACGCCGGGGCCAGGAGTACCGCATATCTACAAACGGGTACATACTCACTACGAGTACCATTTCTCCCGACAGTATTTTTTTGGTATTTGATGTCAAAAAGAGCCGCTTTTTTAAAGACATGTGCGGTGTCGGCTGTCCTCCTGCAGAGATTGATGAAGTCCCTCCCGTCGCCTCCCACAGCAGTCCTCAACTAGAGTATTTGGCCTACCAACTTAATAGCGATGGCCTCCAACCTACTAGCGATGGCCTCCACCCTAAGAGCCAGGGCCTCCAACCTACTAGCGAAAAACACGACCGACAATGGACAATCAGTACAGGCACCCGGCGCCAGGACTACACTGTCCCTACAAGGGTTCATTTTTTCCACTGGTCCCACCAGAGCACAGAGAGGCAGAAGCAGGAAGGGGTCGCAAGGTCGTCCCCCCAAGTCTGTCAGGATTTTTTTAGCTAAGTTTGGCTAAGATTAGCTTTGACTTGTCAAGGTTTTGTAAGTCCGAACTAGGACTTAACTAAGTCTGAGCGATGCAAGACTTAGACATAAAGTTTTGACTTAACTTCGGCTTAGCTCGGGCTCAGTTAACTTAAGCACTGCGGCACATATATATATATGAATATGTATTGCGTTCACTACTGTGTTAAATGGGTCCCTGTCGAGTCAGTGCCAACGGAATCTGGGTCTGACAGAGAGCAATCTCATGACAGAAATCCCTCTGTGTGGTCCGATAGCGCCCTTGCGGCGCGGACAGTGATTCCACAGCACTCACGACAATCGACACAACCACGCGCTCTCACCTTTTTAACGATGAACTATTACTATCTATTACTATAATACTACAGACTCTGAGGAGGTGCTTGGAGCACGTGGCCTAAATAGTGCAGTGATATACATCAGTTTTGTGTTACCAAACTCCAATGACATCTCCACTGCATCCCATCCCGTGGCTAAACCCACCAAGGTGGCTGCACGCCGTGCGGGTTCAACCTATGCTTACGATCTGCAGCTTGGACGGCGGAGAACACGGACGCATGTTTTGTATTTTGATTTTTGGGAGTGGCATGGAATCTCACTAGGGTCACTAGGGATGAACATTCACCGCGACATGCTTTTGTGAACAAGCAAGCAAGACCTGGATACTAGTACTAGTGCAGTTTTTTTCAGGTGTTCTTTTTGAATCTTTTTGGCACATAGCAAGCTGTCTCAGGCAGGTTTATTTGCGCATGGACAGACAAAAACACCAATGTTTGAGGCTTGAGGGGACCCGCTAAAGCATATATTATCACATTTTGCCGGTCCGAGAATTAGATGAACTTGCAATGGCATCACGTGTTTGCGGCTTCGCAATAAGTTGAGGTTTGTCCATAAAAATTGAACCCTTCAAGGTTTGGTCCATTTCCCACTCCACTTGTTATCAGTGGTGATAAGATACAGTACAAATATTATACATATCACAAATACGTGCTGCTTGACCGTCTGCCAAAAAAGACCTCCAACCAGCTCGCTGGTGAGATCCGTTCTCCAGAAGATTGCTTCCAAGCGCTGCCTCTCTTGATCACTCAACTATCACAGACCAGCACTTTTCATGAAGGGGCCACCCACGGCAGCAGTTTGTGCTGCTCGGATCCTTCCCAACGTGATGATGTTCGTTCCATGGTTTTTTTTGCGAGTCATGCTGTTGGATTTCCATGGATTTCCTGGTTTTGTTCAGGAAAACCTTCTATTTTCCCTATGGGCGGAATGTGTTTTTACTTATTCCCGGTTCCGAAGGGCCTCGCGAAAAAAGGGCGCTTCAGGACGTCGTTGTGTTTCTTGCGCCGAGGCCCGGCATGTTGCAACTGGCACTCACCATGAAGTGGATCAGCGCCACGGGCAGCTCGTGTCACCGGCGCCCTTGCTCCGCCCGCCAAATGTCACGTGGCACATGACATGTTTCGCTGCCGTGAGGACCACGTGCGTTTGTTGAGCTCCATGTTTGTAGCTGCCAGGATAAAATATGTTGTTTATTTGTTCTGATTGTATAGACATAGGCTGTAGGTCAGGTTTCAATTAACTACCTGTTGTTTTAAAGCTGATGTTGCCTTTTCCCATGGCCCTATCAATGAATCCTGTTCAAAGGAAACTATGTCGTTGTTTTTTCTGCTTTCTGGACAGCAAATCCAAGGGCACTGATCCATAAAACAGTGCTGTGGTTCTTGAATGTCTCACTCCTGTATCTATCCCGGACTATCCATGAAAGCACAAATTGCCTACATTTGGTGGTCTTGGGTGGTGACTGTAGGTCATATTTGCTTGCATGGATCGTCTGGGTTGGGAGAGG